TCCCTCTCTCTCTGCCCCTCTGCCTGCTTGTGCTCTCTCTCTCTCAAATAAACAAATAAAATCTTTATAAAATAAAGTAAAATGTTAAAGAGAGTAATTATTTACACTTTTAAGTTAGATTCTTATAAAATATCTTAATTTAAATATCACCATATTTAAAAGTTTCATTTGTTAGATTTGTATTCATTATTTAGATGCCCAGAAAAGTTTTAATATTAATCAAAGAGTTCTGTATTTATGAGGAAGATAAAATATTAGATTTATAAAGGTACTTTAAAAGGTTTGGGAAGTTTATTTAATAACACTTATAAATGGCATCAAATAATGTTTAAGGACCTTGAAAGTGGTTTTTAAAATTTTCTGTATTTATAAAAGAACAATAAGAATTCTAAGTTGAACTTAAAACCTTAAGCGAAGCTAAGTTTTTAAATTGCAACACTAATAAATTAAATATTCATTTTTAAAAGTAACCTCTGAATAATCTTTTTCTATGCACAAGAGCTAACCTCAAGAGCATCAAGACTCACACTGACAATTAACATTTGAATTCCGTGACTCCTGGATAGTGTGCAGAGCATGCCTTCTGGAATTGAAAGGACCAGATATAATGGGTTAAACTGCACTGAAAGGTAGGAAAAAAATGCAGCATTCTTCTTCTCTATAACTATTCTCTGGTTCTGAAGGTGCCATTTCCTCTGATGGGGAGATGGGATGGTGTGGTGACAGTAGATCACTGAGCATGTACTTTCCAGGTAAAGATAATATTAGAGACAACTTTTGGGTTAACCTAATCTCTTTTGGGTAAGTGCTATCTTTCAGGTGTTTTCCTCTCTCCTCCTCTGCCTGGCCAAAATGGCATCTGGAAGAGGAAAAATATAGCCATTCTTATGGCACTGGGTGGAGTGAATACTGGCCCACGGCAGGATTTTGTTTTACCCAGTGGGCCCTTACTGGAGGATCTGGTTGCGCTGTCTAATCCCACGTAGACGGGGACATTGGTTTCTGCTTTTGCTGAATCCTCTTGGCAACCAGTAGCAATTCTACGTTGATCTGTGTCTCTGCAGGTCCACTAGGGCTTTCTACTTTTCCTACTCATCCAAGGCACCCAGGAGGCACCCTACAAAAGGACATCGCCCATTGTCTCAGGAAGCCTTTCCAGGCTCTGCCTCTCAACTCCTCTGTTCTGCTTGTCTCTGACTCCAGAATTTTCCCTTGGGACTCAGTTCTTGTTTTCTTGGGCCATGTCCTTTATATCAGACTAAAAGCTGCCCTTTGGGTGGCTGAGGCTTAAGTCTTCCTTTGCTCCTGCCCCAGAGTCCAGGGGTAACCTTCTCACTCCAAGTGGAGTCCCTGGCCTGGCTCTGCAGAAATGAAGTGTATCAACTCCACGAAGGTCCTGGGTTGCTTAAGAATTCACAAAACAAGGGCTCCTGGGTGGCTCAGTTGGTTAGGTGTCCAGCTCTTGATATCAGGTCAGGTCATGATCTCAGGGTTGTGGGATGGAGCCCCACATAAGCGAGGAGCCTGCTTAAGGTTCTCTCTCTCCTCTCCCTCTGCCTCTCCCCAACGCAGCACACACTGGTACTCCTCTTGCTCTCTCTTAAAAAAAAAGAATTCACGAAACAGCATTTGAAAAAGATGTAATTAAAATTGTTAGGATCTATGAAAGTTACAGGATATTTATTCTTTTAAAATAAAAATGTTGAATTTCTTCCTGATAAAATTTAAAAAAAAATAAATGCTTAAATTTGCAATAGTTTGGAAGAGAAGTTTGATGACAGATCAGAGCTACTATTAGCCAAATGGCGTCTTTATGAAAATTAGAGGCTGTCTCCTCTAAGCAGGGGTAGAGCCTCAAGCAGGGCTCACAGCTTGGCAAAGGAAGTGGAGCCCATACTAAATTCAGTTCCCATGCAGCTCTCGGCTGGTTGCCCCTAGGCAAGAAACATCGGCCCAACGGGGACACAGTGGCCTGATGGAGATGGTGTTCCATTGCAGTTTTCTTTACTGTCTGACTTTGGGCAAACACCTTAAACCCTTACGGATTTTTTTTTTTTTTAAGGTTTTATTTACTCATTTATAGAGAGAGACACAGAGAAAGAGAGAACATAGCAGGGGGAGTGGGAGAGGGAGAAGCAGGCTTTCCACTGAGCAGGGAGCCCAACAGGGGGTCCGACAGGGGGTCCGATCCCAGGACCGTGGGATCAAGACCTGAGCCTAAGGCAGACGCTTAACGACTAAGCCACCCAGGTGCCCCAACCCTTAAGGATTTTAGATGTTTCACGTAACGATGTAAAGCAGTGGTTACTGATCTCAGAGGCCCTTTTTATCTAAAAACTATCATGCCTTAGGAAGCCAACAATTTTTTTTTTTTTTTAATGTGGAGGTATTCTCAGAACCTAGAGGAAGCAAGTACCAAGTACTAGCCACAAAAGGAACTGGTCAGAGTAGCAGAAGTGACACGAACTCATGGGAAAAATGTAATCCGGTTATTCTAGGGTTCATGGTAGTCAGGGAGGTTTGGATGTGATTGGACACATATCCTAGACTTTGGGAAACAGAGCTGAATTGTTTTTAAAGATTTTATTTATTTGTTTGTTTGTTTGTTTGTTTTAGAGAGACAGAGAGTGGGGGGAGAGACAACATTTTCAATGACCTCAAAGTTCCCTGGGCCCTATTGCCTAGCCCCCCCAGAAGACCACTGGTGTGGTTTCTGTCACTATAGATCAGTTTTGCCTATTCCAGAACTTCCTGTACACAGAGTCCTACAGTCTGCATTCCTCCCTTTGTTTTCTTAGAAAAGACTAAGAGCAAAGAAAGGGTTTGCCCTTAGAGATAAGGATTCTGAGTTAATAAAAAATGAAGAAACATGGAATTCCTTTATGCTGGGCTACGATGCTCTGAGATGAAGGAGGACTTTTGAGACCACGAGTGTAAAGCCTGTAGACCTTGAAAGTGAAGCCTCATAAAACTCGTCAGCCTATGGCTCCTGTCCCACAAACTCCCACCGTTTCCCCATTGATAAGGAGGAAGGAAGAGGCAGTAGAAGATCATTTAAAAACTGTGTGGGACCACCGAGGCCAGCTGTTGAAGGCTGATTTCTGAGTTTTGACTCTAGACGTTATATAAGGAAGATGACCGCCTCCAGTCTGGAAGAGGAGCTGAATTGTTTTCTCTGTTCATGCTATCTGACCCAACCAATCACAATCGAGTGTGGATTCATCCTGCTGTGAGTGTCTCCTAAGAAATTGGAAGGAAGCCTCCTGTCATGTCCCCTGGCCTGAGTGCAAGGACACTTCGAGTTGAGAAATCCTATGTCTCTCAAATGGAGATAATGACTCAGGTGGCAAAGGATCTGGGACCTCACTTAATGGATGTCAAGACTACCAATGTAATATATGGCGAGAACCAACGCTAATGTCCTATGTGGTAGAGCTGGGGTCCCTTGTGAGACCTGCCTTTGATCCTGGAACCTCAAGCTTCACATAGGATTTGCCTCTGAGAAAGCCAAAGAAATCTCCATATGATCCAATAATTCGACTGTGGGGTATCTATCCAAAGAAAATAAAAACACTAATTCAAAGGGATCCGTGCATCTCTATGTTTACAGCAGCATTATTTACAATAGCCAAGGTATGGAGGCAGCCCCAGTGTCCACTGATAGATGAATGGATTAAAAAAAAAGACATGGCATATAAAAACAATGGAATATTATTGAACCATATAAAAGAATGAGATTGGGTGCCTGGGTGGCTCAGTTGGTTAAGTGGCTGCCTTTGGCTCAGGTCATGATCCCAGGGTCTTGGGATCGAGTCCTATATTGGGTTCCCTACTCAGTGGGGAGTCTGCATCTCCCTCTGCCTCTCTCTCTCTCTGTCTCTCATGAATAAATAAATAAAATATTTAATAACAAAAAAGAATGAGATCTTGCCATTTACAACAACAGAATACAGCTAGTGTGTAGGTATAATGTTAAGTGAAATGTAGAGAAACACAAATGCCATGATTTCACTCACATATGGAATGTAAAGAACAAAACAAATGAATGAAGAGGAAAAGAGATAAACAAAAAACCCCAGAGTCTTAACTACTTGGAACAAACTAGTGGTTTCCCGATGGGACATGAGCAGGGGTGGGGGCTGGCGCGGGTGGATGGGTGAAACAGGGGATGGGGATTAAGAATACACTTGACATCATGAGCACTGAGAAATGTAGAGAAGTGTTGAGTCACTCCGTTGTCCTCCTGAAACTAATGTAACACTGGATGTTCATTACACTTCAATTTCAAAATCCTCAAAACTGTAAAAAAAAACCCACAAAAAACAAAAAACCCGAAAGAGAACAACTGAATCCACCCTGCACTTTACACAATTTTAAAGGTCCTGATGTCAATTTCCAGTCCCTCTCCTCTAAGGAACTGGCCGTAATGGTTGGCCTCGGTCACCGGGGTAATACTTCCAGGACGGCCAGCATCCTCTTTTCGGCCTTTAACACTGCTATCATTGCACAGTTTAGGGATGTTGACTTCCTAGTTCTGGGTCTTTAGTATTCATAAAAGTGGGTCTTGCTTTTTTGCTTCAACTCTTGCTCAAAACAGTCTGTGACCACCAAGTCTTTCTCCATTCCCTTGTGTGTGAGTGCATTCATGCCTGGGAAGGGCCACATGATGAATGTTGACCGCAAGGACTCTGGACTCTCTGGTCACGGGGACAGAATCCCGGCATCACCATTTACCACCTGGACGACCTGGTGCCATTACTCAGCCTCCCTCTTTCTCCATTTCCTTCCACTAAACTCAATTACTGAGTGCAAAATCCTTCGTGCACGGAATCCTGGCGTGCGGTGGCACTCAAGGGGTGGGGCTCGTGACATCAGTTTCTCCTGATGGACCTGTGGGGGTGAGACCTTAAGTCCTCTCCATTTTTTATTTTATTTTAAGAAGGAAACCAGTAACAAGCGCTTCCATACTTTAATTTTCATCTTCAGCATGTCACACCTACCTCTCTGTTAGGTGACTGCCGGTTCCCCGGGGCAGAGGCTGTTGGGGTTGTTTTGAAGTTTAATGTGCTTGAACCTGGGATTCCAGCATGAAAGAAAACTGCTTTCTTACTGTCCTTCTCTGCCTTCTGAACATTTACCTGATTATTAGTCTCTCTGTATGAGGAAGTAAAAGGGTTAAAAAAAAATGAGAACTGAAATAATCTTTTATTTTGTTCTTTTTAAAAAAGATTATTTATTTATTTATTTATTTGACAGAGAGAAAGAGAGAGAGAGAGAGAGAGAACACAAGCCGGGGGGAGAGGCAGGCAGAGGGAGAGAGAGAAGCAGACTCCCTGCTTAGCAGACAGCCCGATGCGGGGCTTGATTCCAGGACCCTGGGATCATGACCTGAGTTGAAGAAGGATGCTTAATGACTGAGCCACCCAGGCACCGCTGAAATAATCTTTTAAAGAAAAAAAAAGTTCAGTGGGCAGCTGTTGAAAGAAAGTCTGAAAGAGGCTCTAGCCGGCAACATGGCGGAGGAGTAGGGGACCCTGTTTCAACCGGTCCCCGAAATGAGCTGGATATCTGCCAGATCACTCCGAACACTCACAAAATCAGCCTGAAATGTAAAAGAAAGTCTGAAAGAGTCCCCACATTGCCTGTACGTGAAGTTTATCATATGCTCTTTGTTCCCCTGATATGTTCTGGATTTTCGATTGGTGTTAAGATATGCCGAACATTCTGAGGAAATTATTTTGAAGTTTATGATGGACTTTAATTTGGGGCAATGAGGCTGTGTCACATGAACTACTCATCCATTGAGTTTATGGTAAATATTTTACCATCTCATTGGAATCAATACTAGGGGCTAAAATGTATATAAAATTTAGAGTGTACTTTAGCAAAAAATTACACATAGATTGACATACTTAATTCGGTCCTAAAATAGAGCCCAAATCAGGTAAGATCTGAGCGATTCATTTTTGTTTTCCCGTGCTTCCAGGCAACACCGCTACAGGAATGGGGGCAATGCAATGGTATGATAAGGGTTACGGTTTGCCTGGGGGTTGCCCAGCTGCAGCACAAAAAGTCTCATATCCCAGGAAATACCTCAGTCCCAGGCAGGGGGAGACCTAGCTAAGGGGTAAGGGGGCCTCGCATGCCAGCCTAGAAAGGTCTGAGTTTATTGATACGGTAGTGCTGAGCTTATCCGTCCAGTTATTAGCTACGAGAGGGAAATAACTAGAGTGAACACACAGGCGTCAGGTACGATCCCTCAGCTGTGGTCTCCCAGGACCTCTTTCCCCAAAGGAGAAAAGATGAGAAGCTGCCGTATTAATTTCCCCCCAAATTGCAGATTTGCCGCTGAGGATCTAGAGTGCCGTGTACCTCAACACTCGCGTCCTGGTGAGCTGCGGCTGGACTTCTGTGCCTTTTGGGCCGGGGTTGAGCGTTTTGGCACCGTATGCCCGTGGGGAGATGAGAGATCATAGTGGCTACGAGTAGAGGCTGGCACTCGAATCCCTGCTCTTCCCCTCACAAGGTGGGGCGGCCCAGAATTCCTTTCCCCGTGCAGCTCTGATTAGGGTGGGCCGCAGGACACCCACCGTCTTCACTGGCGGGCCTCTGAGTCTGTAAATTCTCTTAGCTCAAGAAACTGAGTAAACAGCAGTGACTTCCCAGCAAAATAACTCAAGCCCGGTGTTTGGCTACCAGAGGCAGACTTTTCCCTGCGATTCGGACCAAGCCATAGGGCAGCCCGCCCTACTATTCCGATCACTTAGCGATCTGATTACGGATATGCCCTCGCGTCCCTTCACGGCGACTGTGCCCGCACAGCTTCTTTTGGGCCGTTAAACGCTACCAGTTGGAGACGCCTGGGGGGCTCAGTGGGTTAAGCCTCTGCCTTCGGCTCAGGTCATGGTCTCAGGGTCCTGGGATCGAGTCCCACATGGGGCTCCTTGCACGGGGGGACCCTGCTTCTCCCTCTGCCCGCTGCTCCCCCTGTTTGGGCACGTGCTCTCTCTCTCTCTCTGCAAATACGTAAATAAATAAAATATTTGAAAAGAAAAGGCCGCCAGTTGGCCTCTGACACTCCGGGGTCCCACGACCACGGCCTGCGGAAACCAGCGAACCCCGTAGACGGAAGCAACCGCAGGGCTTCCCCAGGACGCAGATGCCTCCGTCAGGACCGCGGTCTCCTGGGCTTTCCTGGGACACAGACGGGAGGAGGCCGCGCAGGCGCCGGAGGTAAATCCGGTCCCGCGTTCCTGACGCCCGAAGGCTTGGACCGCCTCCCCCGCAGCCAGAACAGCTCTCAGCACGCGCGTTCCCGGCGGCGCGTTCCCGGCGGCGCGTTCCCGGCGGCGCGTTCCCGGCGGCGCGTTCCCGGCGGCGCGTTCCCGGCGGCGCGTCCGGCCCGGCCCAGGCTGCGTTTCCCGCGTTTGTCCTCAGGTCACTGGAGTGAACCCATGTCCCTGGCTCCTGGTGACATGTAGCAGACAAGTGCGGTCGTTCTCTGGTCGAGTAACCACGTCTTCGGGGGCAGGGTTAGCGCGGCCTCTGGGAACAGAGATTTGACCCCCGGCCTGTGCAGCCGGCGGGAGAGGAGGCGGTGAGCCTGAGGAGGGTCGAAGGCCCCTTCCCGAGAGCCGCTGGAGGGGGTTTGCCCAGGGACCTCGGCAAAGCGAGGCCGGTTGGCCCGGACTTCGTCGGCCAGCGGCTTCCACAGGACAGAGAGGCTCAGAAACTGGAAATCCGACCATTGTTTTAATTCGAGAGCGCGGACGGTCATGCTTTATGTTTCCCGTGGGCACCATCAGCCCTCGGGGAGCAGGGAAAGACGGTGTGGGGGGCTGCCGTGGAAGCTCTGACCAGAAAGCCGAGAGCTCGAGGAGTCGCGTGTGTCATTGTAACAGCACGCGCGTGCCCTCCCCACACCCGTGTCA